CCCTTAAAGGTACTAACAGCAGGCCCAAGAAGATTCTGGCAAAATACATACCCACTTCTGCCAACAGTTTCACGTTCATTCTTGACCAAGATAAAAGGAAGCTCTCTCTTGAGACTTCCTTGAGATGCATTTCTTATGTGACATAGCATGTCTGCAGAGGTGTAACTGAGATGTTTATGTATGAGGATTACTAATCCTCGGCTGCAGAACTCAGGCAAAATTTGCAAAAGTCCCTTCCAATCTCATTAGGTTAACCAGTTTTCCTAAATTTGTGAGGTCAATGACAGTCTAGTCTCATTTAATAGAGAAGGAAATTAAAGTGTGAAAGACATTGTGGTCACCTGAAATCATAAATGACAGCAGTTGAAGTCCTGGCCTAGGAAGGGCTAATTTAATATTCTCTGAGAATGGCATGAAATGATGGATGAAAAAATCATATATTGCCCTCTAGGAACAGAATAGTTAGTTGTATAGAATGAGCTCTCTTCCTTATTTTCCTTCACTAATCCCTTCCCCCTGGGCCAGCCACACTTAGTAGTGTGAATGCAACCTCTTAGGTGTTTTCAGCTGTGTGTGTTGCCATGGCAGCGTGTTTGTTATCCCACTGTTGCCCTCTGGCCTCTCATACATAACTCAGTTACCGGCCTATTTCAGGATAGACTATTAACTGACTGGGAAGAGCAACTAGTAATTTTTCTTCTGTCTCAGAGATCAAACCATGTGGTTCCTTGTTTCCTTCCATCCCAGCTACTAAAATGCCTACCTCTGCCTCAGATCTTGAATCCTTGGAAGTCTTGTTTCTTTTCTCAAAGTATGAGCTGTTGCCATGCCCTCCTCTTCAGTTTCTCTCCATTCATCTCTGTTGATGTGGCTAGAAAGTGCTCAGCTCTTTCCCCAATAATGGAAGAGAAATCACATAAGGACTGAGAAGATAGCAAGTGCAAATTTAGCAGAAGAGCTCAGATCCTTGAGAAGGAGATGCTTCATGACCACCAAGGTTAGATGTTCTGTTGAGATGGGCCTGTCCTTAAGCCATCTTTCAGGATAAGAGAATTGAACTTTTTAACCTAAGAGTCAAGGCTTAAGCATTGCTTTTAGGGGTGCCATTATGGACCTAGGTCATAGAAAGAGATAAAAGGAATTAAACAGGAGTGCTTTAAAGGAGGGAGGCCAATAAAGGTACATATGGAAGAGTTACAAACCCCAGTAGTTGACTTAGATATTGGGGTATTCTACCCCTATAAAATTCAGTGATTCTTCCTCCAAGAAAGGAAGTGTGTGGCCAGTAGGGCTTGTGAGTGGGCGCTCCTCCAGGGACCAATGTGCTGTGGGACACCTGGTTATTATTTATGATCCAATTTAAGTCTTGGGCAAAAGATTTGATGATTTGGTGTTTGTAGGGTCATGCCTTCTTTTTAAACTTTACCTGTGTGTTACAGCAGCCAGTAAGGAGAAGAAGGGGAGAGAGCTCATTCGACATTAACAACATTGTCATCCCGATGTCTGTCGCTGCAACTACCCGTGTAGAGAAACTACAATACAAGGAAATCCTTACTCCAAGGTAGAAGCCCTAAATAATCGGTTCCTCTCCCTATTCCTCCTGTTAATACTTAGCTTTTTCCACACTTCTCTTCTGACCAGGCTTTGGGTCCTAGCATTGGTTTCTGTCTTCTCTTTAAGACATTGGGCCAGCAGATGGCATGGTGGTTAAAGGTGCAGAATTTCCACATGGCTGAGTATTGTTCAAGTCCAGGACATGGCAGCTTGCTCTCTCGCTTTCCCTTTCTCCCTCTCTCTCTGTCTCTGACAGGTCAAATTGAAAGAGGGGGGAATATATATATACACACACACACACATACATATATATATTATGTATATTATTATATACATATTTTAAAAATGAGAGAGAAAGATCTTGGGCCAGCAGGTGGTGTAGTGCACTGGAACCCACATGACCTACTCTGTACTTTGAGTCCTGGACCTGACTGCTGTAAAAACATGCCAAGGATGTGTGCATATGCCTAAAATCTGAAGTAGAGAATGGAGAAGAGATCCTGGCATGGCCAGCCCCCCTGGGGGGGGTGATTTTTTTCATTCTCCCTCTGTCTTTTCTCTCTCTCTGGTAAATACACATGCCCTGTGGCAAAAACGTGGGGAAGCAAATGAAAAGGTTATAACCTGATAGGGGTGTGATTATTTCTGTATGTAGTCCTCATTCTATTAAGTGACCATATCAACCAGGGCATAAGTGTCAGGTAGCCATTACTGGTCTGTAGACACATTTTGTTAACACATACTGTATTTAAAATACTGAATTCATTGTCATCATTAGAAAAGGATTTCACGTATAAATCTTTATTCCTGACTTTTATTGACAAATCAGGCTGAGCAACCCTGTTTGTGTGTTTCAAAGTGGTAGCAATCAACTGGTGTTGAGTGGTGGTGGTTTCCTTTAAAGAGTCCTTTGGTTGAGTTTGTCAGTGTCTCAGCCCCAAGCCCCACCCCTCCACTCCTCCACCCCACTCATCCCCTACCTGCCCATTTTTTTTTTAATATTTTTTTAACTTTATTTATCCACTTTTTTATTTATTTTCATTTGACCAAAGAACGATAGAATGAGAATGTGAGAAAGCAAGCCACCAGGTCCAGGACTCGAACTGTGGTTGGCAAGTCCACCACCTTTAATCACCACACCACCTGGCGAACCCCCTACCTGCCATTCTGACCCTTGAAGGCATTTGAGCATGGGTTTTCTTTCAGAGGGGTGAGGAGGTTGATTTGTGATTAGACAGAGCCTGCCCATTGTATTCCCTTGAAAACAGGTGTTTTGTCCCAGGCTACAGACTGCCTGCCTTCTCGTGATTGTTCCTTCTTCGTTTTGCAGCTGGCGGGAGGTTGATCTTCAGTCTCTGAAGGGGAGTCCTGATGAGGAGAACGAGGAGGTAATGGCATGGTCATTCTCTCAACATGCGTGCATACACACACACACACACACACACACACACACACCACATGCTTCAAGAACTGTGGAAGTCAAGTGTAAGCTCCTTTATAATCCTGTCCTGACTGGGGGAATAGAGTTGGTTCAGAATTGATGTATTTATATGTAAATTCAGCTTTCTGGAAGAAACAGTACCAATAAAGCTATTCTGTTGCAGATTGAGGACCTGTCCGATGCAGCCTTTGCTGCCCTACATGCCAAATGTGAGGAGATGGAGAGGGCACGATGGCTGTGGACCACAAGTGTGCCACCCCAGCGGCGGGGCAGCAGGTGATGGGGCAGGCACAGGTCCCCAGGGCCTATCGAGGGAGGGTAGATGGGAGTTTGAACCCTATTCGTGTCCACAAAATTGCAGTTGCTTCTTGGTTGTTCATGTTCATCTACTAGCCAAGGCTAGGAATATCGAGTTCCTTGATATTTGTGGGAACTATAAAGGTATGAGTAGTCAAATCTTAGATCCTTGCTGAGTGGTCACTGTCCAATTCTGGCAAATTCTAGTGATCTCTTTGGACAGTGGACTATTTGGTTTTGTGATCTTGATTCAAAGAAATATCCCACTTGCACATCACTATGCTATTTCCTCTAAAAGGAATTCTTTGGGACTCTCATTTTGTTTTTTCCTATTTGACTGCAATTTTCGAAGTCTGGACTAACTTCCCTGCCCCCATGAATTCAGTAGGCATTGTGCCAGTGGCGTTGTTCAGCCATGCCTTCCTCTCAGGATGATAGGTGTGTATAGTTCTTAGATGTTGTATTGTATACCTACTCCTTGGGCAGCCGTGGAAGAAAATGGGATTTTCCAAGTTCTAGGAAAGAACTGTGTCCCTGTTTGTCATCTTCTGTGGTGGAAATTGTTTTTTCATGCCTCCTCCCTAGCTCTCCCAGAAAAAGATAAGAATTATGCTATCCCCAAGCACTCAAGATTTGCATTCCTTGGTATACAGGTCTTACAGGTCATCAGACGGCCGGACAACCCCCCAGCTAGGCAGTGCCAACCCCTCCACCCCTCAACCCGCCTCCCCTGATGTCAGTAGTAGCCACTCGTTGTCGGAGTTCTCCCACAGCCAGTCCCCCAGGAGCCCCATTAGCCCAGAACTGCACTCGGCACCCCTCACCCCTGTGGCTCGGGACTCTCTGCGACACTTAGCCAGCGAAGACACCCGTTGTTCCACGCCAGAGCTGGGGCTGGATGAACAGGTGAGCAATAACTGCCTTCGCATGGGGTTGGCAAGGTGGGAGGGTGGAACTGGGAAAGGACAGAAGCAGCTGAAGATGGATCTTCTTCACCTTATGGCTCCTCTCTTTGAAGGAGACACTGGGCCACACTTTAAAGTGACCTTCTAAAGGTACAGTGTAACTGTATTGGCCCATCCCATGAGGGGTCTTTCCAAACTGCCCCAGGAACTCCAGATAGGCTGATAATGGGCTCCAGTCCACACTGTGGCACCGGGCCTTGGACAGGAAGCAGGCTGGGTTGGTTCTCACCAAAGCAACTTGTCACCCACAGTCCGTCCAGCCGTGGGAGCGACGGACCTTCCCCCTGGCCTACAGTCCCCAGGCAGAGTGCGAGGACCAGCTGGATGCACAGGAACGAGCAGCCCGCTGCACTCGGCGCACCTCAGGCAGCAAGACTGGCCGGGAGTCAGAGGTGGCACCCACATCGCCTCCCGTTGTCCCCCTCAAGAATCGACATCTGGCGGCCACAGTCACAGCTCAGCGCCCTACTCACAGATGAGCAGGAGACAAGATTCTCAACAGACTCACTGATTATTGGCATTAAAGCTTCAGAACTCTCTGCGTTTGATATTCAAACATCATATGCCAGAAATTTTCACAGTTTTTAGTGAATTTAAGGAATTTAGATCCTACTTTGGTATTCTTTTTTCTTTTGATTTTTGTTTTGTTTTTGTTTCCATGTTTTCTTGTCACACACCTGAGCACTTCCTCCAGTTGGCAAACAGAAGTTCAGGATAAGACCCTGCTGTCCTGGACCTGGCACATCCTCTGCATTGTTGAATCACTGGACTTAGTAACGTCAGATCTCCTTCGCAGCTGTAGGCAGGATGGAACAGCTAAGTGCACAGAGGGGATGGAATGCTCCAGTTCAGCATTGCCTTCTTAGGTTAGAGTGGGGCAGGGCACTCTGGGCTCTTGACCCCTCTCCTGTCTATGGCTCAGCCCAACTGTGCCCCTCCTGGTTGGGTCGCCCTTGGGTTTCTGTGCTGGAGCATCCCCACCAGAGCCTCCTTGTCATAACTGCCAGTTGTCCTCACTGAGTTCCCAGCTGGTAGAATGGCTTCCTCTTGTCAGCAGACCTTGGAGACCTGTTTTAGTTTTCATCTGCATTTGGCCATCTCTGCCTTGACTCCTTTGCAGTAACCTGGCTGTGGCTGCTCAGGTTTCCCCAGTCCTGCCTCTTCATACCGTTTCCTGTCTGTCCCCACCCCCGCCCATGCACACATGCACCAGTCCTTCTCTCAGCCGTCTTCTCCCCCACTCTGTTCTTTGAAGGTGGGGTTAGGACTACGGAACTCCTGTTCCCACTCCCTTGGAGGCTGGAGCATCTGGGAAGTGAGCAGCCATCTCCTCCTATACTTGAGTTTTCACCGACTGATCACTTCATCTCATTTCCTTCACATACAGTTCCCTGTCCATGTCAACTAGACTCTAGACTCTTCCTCTGTGCTGCTCCCCTTCCTGTGGAACATTGTCTGGTCCTCACTGTGGTTTCCATCACACCCCGTCACCCTCCCTTTTACCTGTCTCATATATAATCACATCACCAAAAAGGGGGAGGGGGGAAGGTGGTTTTGTTTTTTGTTTTTTCTTTTTCTTTTCTTTTTTTTTTTTTTTTTTGATTTGTTTTTTCCATTTTGTAATCATATGAAAATAGTAGACAAACTGCTTAATGGTTGGGGTTTTTTCACAATTTTCAACATTAGTGATTTTTTTTGGTTCTGTTTGCAAGTTAAAGGGTTTGTCATTGTTTCTTTACAAACAATAATGCACCATATCCCTATGCATAAAGTGCTTCTTCTATTTATAAGGTTGAAAATTCTGAATAACCCTTTTAGCATTGTAAAAAAAAAAAAAAAAGAACAAAAACAAAAATTGAAAAAAAAAAACCTTGTATTTTGTAAATATTTTCTTTTCCTGCTTTGAGCTGTGTTATGGCAGCGAAACATGTAGCTGTCTTTGTTCTATAGAAATGCTTTTCTTCAGAGAAGCTGATCTTTGTTAATGTCTTGATTCTGTTCGCAAAGCACAGACTAGTGCTTAAAAAAAAAAAGAAAGAAAAAATTGAAAAAAAAAATAAAAAAAGAGTTACAGAATGTCGTGTGTGGGCCCTTCTTGATGCAGTGGACTGGGTGTACATGATAGTTGTGGCAATTTCAGTATCAACAGTGCCAGAATCATTTTGGGGGTCTTCTGACTTGCTCTGAACCTTGGAACATTTCCAATCTGCTGGGAACGTGGTTGGGTCCTCTACTGGTCACCAGAAAAGAGGGTTTGATGACTTTTCACGAAGGTAAGGAGTGCCAGGAAGGGGTGGTGTTTATTTTAGGCTGATTCATTTATTTTTTCCATAAAAAGAGCACTTCCAACAGGGTCTTGACACTGCAAACCACCCCCAGCCAGCTCGAGATCATGGGCAAGCATATGCCTGGCATACTCAGGAAGGTATTGGAACTTGAACTAGAAACTTTCACATGTAGGGGACCAGCAGTTGGCATAATAGCTATGTTGCCGGACTCCCATGTAGTCGACCACAGTTCGAGTCCTGGACCCAGTGGCTTTAAAACTCACACCAGGCGTGTGCGCGTGTGTGCCCAGAATCCCAAGAGGAGGATGGAGGAGAAGGGATTACAGTGTGGCCATCCCCCCTGGGGGGTGTGATTTCTCACTGTCTCTCTCTAGTGAGCGCACGTGCCCTATAGCAAAAATCTCTCCCCACAAAAAAAAAAAACTTTCACATGTGGGATTACCTTGCAGAGCATAAAGTTTTGGACACCACTGCCATTTCACACCAGGATCCACCCCTGCTTCTACTTTATAGTGAGTGAGAGTTAATTAGCCCATTGCCTCTGGATGCTCTTTTCTCGTGAGGCCAACAGTACGGTGTTTCCTATTTATTGTGAATTGCTCTTAAATGGAGATTTTGCTTTTCACCATTGGACTTTTTTCAGGTTGGGGGTTGCTGAGAATGTATGTGATTTGGGTAGACAAGTTCTTGCCTGCGACCTGAGGAGGTCCCTGAGGCTGCCTGTCGTATTTCTGAAAGCTGGGCACCTGGCACAGCAGTTCTCTTTGACCTGTAGCTTCTGTCCTTGCAGCTGAGATCTACAGAACTGAAGCTGCTGTGTGTTAGTAGCTAAACACACCTGGAAGTAACGTTTTGAAGCTTTATAGACAACGACAGAATCACTAAAGGACCGTACAATGGTTTGCTATTTTTGTTTCGTGTGGATTTTTTTAGGGAAAAGCTATATGGTGTATCTGTCTTGGTTTAGCAGAAATATTGCTTAGTCTGTTATAAGGTTCCAAACGAAGGAGAAAGGCAGCTGTGTAAACCTGGAAGGACTCTAAGCCATTCATTCACCTGATTGGCCCAGTGTTCTGCCATAGCCCCATGCCACTGAACTACCAGAAACAAAAGATACCATGCATCTACCCCCTACCTTCTCGGGTTTGAATACCCTGGCATTGGTCTTAGATTCTCGGTGCACCATTGTGAGCTCAGCTGCAAGGGTGTTTCTTGCTCTTTGAGCTGAAGTAGGATGGCTTGCCAGCACCAGAAAGCGAGAATCAACTGAAATTGAGCCAGTATGAGAACCCTCACCTTCAGGGCTGCAAGGAGAGCTGTAAACCCTGCTATCCAACTTTCAACAACATTGCCATTTTCTGTCTGAGCTGAGTTCTCTAAGGGTAAGAAATGATTTAAAAATCATACTTTGTGTATCACGTTCTTGTTCTTGTGTGGTATTCATAAATGGAGACCTTATTTAATCAGAGTAATAACTTTATTTCCAAATTCACTTTTACAGCAACAGTCAGTGTAAATCATTTGTTAAAACACACAGTATACTATATGGACATTCACAGACAGGAAGCTAAGCTAAGATGATTTCATGTCCCTCCCCCCACCCTCAATTACCCAAGAAATCATGGGACTTGCTAGTGCCAGAAATTGTCCTGCCCGACACTGCAAATTCATGGGACTGAGTCCGTTAGAAGGTGAGCCTCTGGGTTGGTGCCCAAGGTAACCCTTTTCAAAGCTGGAGAGAACCAGAAGTCTCATGAAGCCACAGATCTGTAGATGGGACAAGCTGATGATCACCTCTGCCCTTGTCCCCTCCCTTCGGCTTCACTTGGGGGACAAAGATGAGGGTGAAGGAAGCGATCTCGGCAGCTGCTAGAAGTACCAGCCAGGGGTCTGGATTTGGTGGGAGAGGTGACACAGTACCAGTGGCTCAGAGGAAAGGATGCCAGCATCTTAGGGAGATAAGATTGTGGGATTTGGACCCCACAAGGGAGCAGGAGGCCAAAGCAACTAGATCAAGTTCCTTCCCAAGCCCTGCTGCTTGCTCCCGGTGTGGGGTGGGGTGGGAGGGACTGAGCTGGCAGCCTGCTACAGCCTGTAAGCTGTCAGTGGAAAAGCAAAGCTCTGAGGACCTTTAGCCCTGTGGCCTCCCTTCCTCCCTCTAGCAAATGTGGCTGAAATGAAAGGGTTCCAAGGCAGTGTAACTGCTGCTCTCAGACTTCCCTCTGCCCATGTTAGCTATCTTACACAGTCCTCCCCCCTCCCCCCATAGCACAACAAGCAATCGCAAACAGGATACAGTCTCACCACTGAAGTCAGTTTAAATGGAACTATGGACAAAGTGAATGGAGAGCTCGAAGAAACCAGGTATATGGTCTGTCCTTTCTAGCCCACCCAGGACATTGGCTCAAATTGGGAGAAGTGAGGGGAAGGGTGGAGTGCCCAGACCCTGGGAGGATTGTCCACATTGAAGGTCATAAGCTTGCATCCCTTTGCAACCTACCTGCCATGATCTTTAGGCTGACCCCAGTAGCCCACCCCACAGAGGACGTTCAAGAGCTCACCAGAGCAAGGGGACAGGACTGCAGGAAAGAAGAGGTACAGCCCAAATAAGTGGCGATAATGAGGGGACCACCTCTCTGATGACCTCCAGATCTTTAAACCACATTTCCTTTTTCTTTCTCAGAACCCTTAGGAGAACAGCTGGGGCTTGGAGAACAGGGGAGCCTCATGGTGAAAAGTTCTGGGCCCAGATAATTCCTTGCATGGGAAGATCTGGCTGCAAATGATGAAGTCTCCAACTTCAGCCAAGGGCCTGGATGACTCCTACCCTGCCCCCAGGGTGGCCTTAAATCCCCAAATGGAAAGTGGCAGAGCTGGGCCCGAGTCTGCTGAATTTGTTCAAACAATTTTCTGCAAAGACTGCTTCCCTTTGCCCATGGCAGCAGATGGAGCGTGTGCAAGGTCAGCGGGCTGAGTGATCAGGCCAAGGCTTTGGAAACAGTATCTCCTAACTTGTCACCCTTCCTCAGGTAGCTAGGCCCTGGAGCCCGTGCAGGACAGGAATCCATCCCAGTCCCTGCTATGGTGATAGGGTCTTTAGTGAGGAGGCCAGGGCTATCCCCCTTGAGAGCTTAGATAGGGACCCCAGGCTGAGGGGTGGGCTGCCTAGAGGCTGGTAGAGCTCCTGGGGCTGCAGATCTTTACCCCCACCGAGCTGGCTGCTGCTTTCTTTCAATGCAGGAGTTGTAAGACCCTCTTTCAGGGCTGCTGTGGAACTTTCTCCAGGCTGTGACCAGTGAGGAACCATCTTCATACTGCAAGGCAGGCCAGCCACGTGACACACCGCACACACCACCCTGACCAAGGGAGCCCTGAGAGCAGAGGCAGGGAAGGGGGCCCATGTCTTCTGTCCTAGTCCTGTGCTTCAGGCCTCTGCCGCTGAGGGTCCAGCTCAGATGTCAGAATCTGGTCTCTGCTGGGTCCCCAGTGCTGCTGAAAACCTGTCAAAACTCACGAGGCCCCATTAGTAGGGTAGAGCCACACCGGCCTGCTTAAGTCAAGTCCCAGCGTGGAGCGAGAGACAGCTAGGATTCCCATGAGGGTGGGTTCGAAACCCCTTTACAAGCATTTCAAGATACATGCGTCCTTTTTTTTTTTTTTTTCTTTTTTTCTTTTTTTCTTTTCACTGTCATAGTCACTCTGGTGAATCCAAGCATAAACAGACAAATCCAACTACAACGCAACAGGGTGCAGACGGGGAGGGAAGGGCAACATCTATATATGCTCAGCTGCTCCAGCAAAACAGACAGCATTGCTTCCAGCTGGGATCGGGCAGAGAACCATTTCCGAGGGGGCATGTTTGTCTTTGGGGGTATGGAGGGCTGGTTATATGCACGTGGAGGTGAACGGCAGCTGGGCTCTCTGGGAGGCTGGCAGTCGTAAGCTGGGGGTGGAAGTAGGGGACAGAGTCTGGTCCTGCCCTGGGAGCCTGCCTTGCCACCCCTTCAACATAGGAAGGGGACCAGGCAGGCCTTCTAGGAGGAAGAGGCTCTCCAAGTCAACAAGGCAAAATGCATCTGTGGCCGAGCCCCACCTCACTCAAGGCTGAAATGGGAGGTGGGGGACAGAGAACCCAGTCGGCTATGAGAGAGAGCAGTTAGATGAATGGAACTTGGAGCGAGAGACTGAAGTCCAGTTCTTGGGCCTGGCCTTTCCTTCCTTTGATCTCACCCCTTCGTGGAGTACCTCCCGCATCTAACCAGTGTCTTACTGAGGGAACTGGGGACAGTGTGACATAATGAGTACAGGCAGGGACTGGGCTCTCACGGCAGACACATGGGCATGGCAGGGCAGACAGGGGGCTGCAGTGGCCGTGGGAAAGACAGGAGGCTCAGGACCCACCTCCCAGACCCCAGCACACTCCAGAGATGCCGGAAGCCCAGGCTTGGAGACAGGCAGATGTCCCCTGAGAGGCACAAGTCCTTATGAAGAGAACTGGTTAGCCCTAAAGTCCCAGGTCTGTGAAGGCCAAAATCGTGGCTGCAGTTCCAAACTTCAGAACTCATTAAAATCGGGTTTCCATGGGGCAGAGGGAAGCCCCTCAGCTCAGGGCTCCCTCTCTGCAGGGAGAGAGGGAGGTAGAGGCCAGGGCTCTTGCACAGACATCATGGTCAGCCTTCTCTAAGGAAGTAACCCACAGAGTACCACCCTCCTGCCACTGCCCCTCCTCCCACGGGCCATCCTCCAGACAGTGGGACACCAACCCACAGCAGACCCTGGCCCACCAGGATAGGGCTGAGGCTATGGGTGGCCTTTCCTGCTGCCCTTCCAGCGATGTTCGGCAGGGCCCGATTCCCACCGTGTTTCTGTCTCCCTTCTCATCTGTCCTCTCACTCCCTGCCCACCTCCTGCCCAGCCTTCCTCAGCCCCGGGTCTCCCACCACCACACCCGTCATTCACACAAGGTGACCCTGTCTGCCTGTGGCTCCACAGACATGCCAAGTTTTAAATCCTTGCTGCTGCTGCTTCTGTCACCCCCAGGATGGGGCCAGAGTTTGCAGGGGCCCCCAGTGCCTTAAATTCCCCAGCAGCAGCTTTCAGAGCCTCGCCTTCTCTCTCTTCTACTCAGAGGCGGAAAAAAAAAGAATCAAAAGGAATTGCCCAAGGAAATGTTGGGTGTGGCTATGATTTTAAATGTTTTTTTTAAAAAATATTTTATTAGCCCACCCATCAATTTGGAAAGATGAAATTTGCTCTTATTCCCGTCACTGGTTTTGAAGTCCGGAGCCAAAGCCGAGCGACAAAAGCAGGTTAAGTGATTAACCGATTAACCGATCTGTGAGGAGCAGCTGGGGGAGGGCAGAGGGCGAAGGGCCAGGTCATTCTTTTTTTTTCCACACTCTCTCTTCTCTCCACGATTATTGACCACTTGGGGGCCTGATCACAAACCCTGCTTGGCCAGGGAGGCGGACACTTCGTCAGCTAGTGTGGCAAGCTGGGGTGAGTCTACCATGTTGATGCTGCCAGTGGAGGAGACGTTGCTGAGGTGCCGTGGAGACGTGTCCCCGGACACCACAGGCGACTTGTACACGATTTCCGCGCCGTGGTCGGTCTTGGCTTTGGCATTCTCACGGAAGGTTAGCTTGTGGGTTTCGATCTGTGAGGACAGGAGGGGAGGGAGGAGGCGATGAGGTGCTGTTGCAGCCAACGCCATGGCGGGTAACTTTGGATTAACTTGTACACATCACCTCACACAGCTGAGTGTCCGGACGTGCACCTGCTAGGCTTAAACGCACTTGCGTGTTTTATCTTGATATTGCCAAATTGCAAGTGAACGTGTTGCAGAAGCTGGAGTCGGTGGAGGGATGGCCCCAGAGCCACTGATACCCAGCCCTGACCAACTCACATTACTCCCCTTTGCCAGTGACTGCTGGGGAGTTGAGGTGGCAGCTGCTGTGAGCAGCCCTGGCAGGTGTGCTGGAAAACAAGGTGCCATGGGCCCAGCTGTGGTGGCACAGGCAGTAGGGTGCTGCTGCTCAAAGCTGAAGTCCTACGGAAAGGCCTGGGGTTCAGATCCTGAGTCTGCCTGAGCACATTGGACATGCCCACAGGTGTGCCCGTGGGGTCCTGGCTGGCTAGAAGGCTGGGGATGGGTCACATTGTGACAAGAACCTGTCAGGAGTTCCCTGTCTCTCTCGTTAAATAAGCTTTATGAAAAATTGAAAGTTAATCGAACTATTAAGTGATATTAAAAAGAAGAAAAGATGTGGTGAAGCCCCTGTAAAAGTGGAGAACAGCCAGTCTTCGTGGCACAGACGTGGTGTGCCAGTCGGCAGTGCTGGAAGCCGGGGGGCCCACCACGGGAA